TGTTTACAGACAGAGTGGAATATTCCTCATTAAACGCCAGAAAATGTAGGAAGGTGTCTGAAGAATAATTGTCCTGTTTAAAATTCCCAGTGTGCTCTGTGGCTGGTATTTTAGCAGAATGATTTTAATGAGAAAACCCATTGTTTCTTTAAAGCAAAACATTTCTTGATCAATATTCCATAATGTTTCTGGTAGAATTAAAAAAAAAGTGTTTTCTGTTAGGAGAGGAATTCAGAGAGGTTTCCTGCAGCACCCAAACCCATCCTCTCTTGAGTACGCTGGGCGGTGGAGCAGTGCCCTACCTATGGCATGTGCTCAGCTTTAGATTACCTCGTTTAGACACAGCCTAAGTAGCTGTGGGACAAATTGTTTCACTTTCCTGTGTTTCAGTGTCTGCATCGGTAAGCTGGGGACAACAATGAAAAGCTCTTCTAGAGCTTCTTGAACCCTCTGCCTGAAAGGTTAAAGCTAGGTTTTCACTATGCCTATTAATACTCTTCTACGACAGGGATATGAAGGGAAGAATTTTCCCCTACACAGCGCTAGGTCAAGTGTGTTTAAGGCTGTCTTCAGTTTTCGCTGAGTCAGTGGCTTTAGGAGCCTGGGCTCATGCTCTCAGACTTAGCTTTTCATTAGCCCTCCTTTTGATGCAAGCCTGAAAGGGCAGTGACAAACTTTCTTAAAGCCAGAGAAGAAATACCCTCAGTGCAGCATCTCTCTTACAGATACAGAGCCTGCGAGCACTATCCCTGCTGTACTTGAAACTGGCAGATAACCTGCTGACTGGTAAGCAGGGACAAGCGAGAGGAGCTTCAACTCAGCTTTGCTTGCCTCGGGGTCCAACACCGGCTTTGGGAGCCAGCTCTGGAGATACAAAGGTTGTGCAAAATAGCTGTCAGCTATACTAACCACATCCCCAGCACAGAGCCAAATTCCGTCCTGTGTTTTGGGGCCAAGGAGTCGCAGGAAGGACCACGCAGAAAAGGGCTTCCAAGATCAGGGCCTGACTCGCTGTCAGTGTCAAAATACAAACTACCCAGCACACCTAACTCTGCAGGGAACAGAGCATCCTCACCAGCATGACGAGCAGTGGAAAATCCCAGCAGAGTCAGAAAGACGTGTAACGTTGCTGGGTTGGGTCTAATGCATGATAACGGGAAATTAAGAGAAAAGAAATAACTAAATATAGCTTATTTACAAAGCAGAGAAGACGAACATCTCTATGCAACAGATACATACTTACATGTATATACAGAATTTGTAGGTATACAGTTGATATATATATAAATCTCTGTGTGTGGGTGTGTATGTGTGCATTTACTCAGTACAGCTAAATGTTAGTAACATCAGTACTAAAAAGCATTATTGCACTAAAAAACCCGAACAGAAGCACTTCTCCAGCTGGCTGTGAGAGGGAAATGGCTGGTCTCCTGCTGGGTTTGGGCAGCCTAAATATAGCTCAAAAGATGCTTCTGGCACTTGTCTCTCCTGTTTGGTTGTCAAATGCACTCTGAATAAGAGTACCCAGAAGAAAGGGGTTTCTGTGCTCTCAACATGCGGTCCTGTTCGTGATGAAGTGAATGGGAAAGCAGCCTTGGAGAATATGAGCCACCTGATCTGTCCAGCTGAAACCATTAGGCAGAGAGAAGGCAGATGGAGATGCTAATGCGATTTGGGCTAAAGAGACATTTAAAAATGAGGCTGTGTCTCATCTTTCTCATCTTCGGTCATGCAGTTTAAGTAAGTTCCTCTCAGTGGGTAGGACACTAACATTTTCCTTTCAGCTCAGCAAGGCAGTGCTTGCTATGTGCCTGCATCAGTCATCTGCCCACATCAGTCAAGACTAAGCTGCACTCACTCTCTGCTTGCTTGGTCAGCAAAAAACATGTCTGGGCCACCATCCTGCCCTTAGCAAGTAGCTAGTGTGTTATGAGGTGTTACTCCTGTAACACAACAGGTAAAGATGAGTAAAACGGGTGAATTTAGCTTGTCCCAGGGATGAGAAAAGCTATATGCTTTCCTTTCTTTAAGTTGGGCCAGTCAAGTCTGATATTGATTTCTACAAGGGCACCAACAGATCCTAAATCAATGGAAACCAACAGTATCACGGAGAATGACAGTGTGTCCACACAGACTCGAGTCCTGCTCTTGAATGAATAGCGGACGTGTGCACCTTAGTGGGCAACCCCTCCTAGGAAACACCACCCTCATTAGATAGGTACAGGTACCTGCCCGAGAAACCAGCCCTGCATTTTCTGTATAATGAAAATCCCTCTAGTTATTAGTTATTGAATGTTGCTATTGTCAATGCACCACACAAAGTTCGGCTCCTTAGTTTCAGACATAGTCTGCTTTGCCCGACGCTGGTATATACGTGTATTGATGTATCACTGTACAGACCCGTATGGTTGACATATTGCTCAATGTGTGATGCCAAGTGGAGAGCCAACAGGCAACCCCAAGGATTTCCCCATGCACTTGTAACATTGTTAGCTGAGCTGCTGCAGCAGGAAAGAAATTCACCACGCTGCCTTCTGGCAATTGAAAGTACAGTGGCATAAGGGAGTTGTTACATCTCTTTAAATCTGGCCTCAGGGTCCTATTCTTTCACTCTGCTTTTATTAACAGCTTCCTGATTTTCTGAAGGCAATTTTCCATAATTTTTCTAATTATTTATTGGTGTTTAACAAGTACTGAACTCTAATGGTTTTAATTTGCCTGAAAAATTAATTCCAGTTACAGTATTCATCTAAGTGAACAGGATGTAGTGGGGCATTCGGCTCACCTCCGAAGTCCCTATGTGCCATTGCTTTCAGGTGACCCTGGATGGATGGCAGTTACCCGCCAGGCCAGGCAGAGACCTCGCTTGCAATCCCGTCAAGGGTGATGCTCCACTCCTAGGCTGCCTCGCTGCAGAAAGCTTCCTCCTGTACCTGGGATAGAATGAAGCCCTGGCTACGCAGGTGCAGATTTGTTATTTAAAAAGTCACACCAGTTTGTCAGTCATGCAGGCAGTGGTGCCGAACACCCTGCAGCTTGTCTTCAAGTGGGTTAGAAGAGGGTGACCAACCTATGGCCACTGGAGCCACAGGCAGTGTATAAACTGCTCAAATCCCTGCTCATCCCACGGCTGCCTCCTGCAGACAGCTCTGCTGTGGGGGAACATCGATGTCCCCAGGGCTGAAGGAGACAAGCCCGCAGGAGCCATTGCAGGCATCATCTCCCAGCTGCTCCGGACTGAGCTCCGCATCCCCCATCAGCTCCATGCCACCCTGCGCCGAGACCTTGGGGTGTGACAGTCAGGTCCTTCAGCTGCCCCCAACGCCCCCTCCCTGTCTGCGGTACATGTCCTCTGGCTCCCTGATTTTTTGGGTTTTGGCTGTTTAGGTCAAAAAGGTCGGGCATACCTGAAGTAGGGTAGGGGGGAATGGTGTCTTTACATGTCCCGCCTACTGCTTATAATAAAATCCCACTGGAACGTAGCTAACCTAGGAAGTAGTACACATTAAACTATTCAGAATAATAGGTATTTATTTTCAGTGCTGTTTTCATTAAATATTGGTATAATATATCCATGTCTGAGGTAATAAATTAAAAATAAATTCAAGATTTCAGTCCCATATTTGTGCTGCATATCTTTTCTACCATTATACGTAATTTTGAAGCAAACACACATAGTCCATAATTCTGAATGCAGCTAGGAATATTATTTTAACACAGTCACTTTTTGTTTCACTATAATTTTGCTGAGAATGGTTATTGCATGATACAGTTTTAATAGATGTTTTAGTTATACTAGAGTTTTCTATTAAATCACACATACCGTAGTTATAGGAAGATGGGCATGAAGATGTGCTTTGAGCCAAGGATGGCAAATATTGAACCCGAGTGATAGCACATACTGCAGGATTATTGTCTGCCTGCACTAGAGCCCAAATCCAGCAAAGTTGTTTCAGTGTGTGCTTAGCTTTAGACATACGAGTCGTTTCAGTGCCACCCATGGCCTTAAGTGTTTGCTGAATCAAGGACTAGCCAAGTCTGCAGACCTAAATTCACAGAATTCTTTAACTGTGTGTTATTTGAAAACAGCTTTGCTGGTTTCATATTTTGTAAGTTTTTTTTAACAACCTTTGTAATATATTTCGTATCAGTGAAGCACCCATGAAAGTTTCTAACCTGTTCATAAATACACTATGAAAAAATAAGCGGCTACAATGGCTCTCTTCTACACATTTTGTTAAAAGCAACACTTGTTTTGAAAAGTTATTAAAGTAATTTTTTCCATGGTAAAATATATTTAAAAAAATAAACTCTTCATTTCATCATCTTCCATCAAACATATAAGCTTGTTAAAGGGCGGGGCATACCTCAGGTATTTTCATTTATAAATGGAACAGACTGAGCGTATCAATCTTTTCACATTTAAATGCTGGTGGTAGTAAGGCCCTTTCAGCTAAGTCTCCATCAAGCCCAACATTAGTGAGCTAAAGAAACAAACAAACAAAAATTTTGCTTGCATATAACTTTTTCATAATCCTGAATTGAAAAAAAAATCCTCTCCACTTAGAAAAAAACTCTTATTTAACTGCTGCCATTAAAAAAGTAGACCTCACCTCCATGTTGTTTTAACTTTAATCAGTGATTCTGAATGCAAAGGATTTAAACACTAAAATTACTGTGGCATGCCATCAGACCCTTAATATTCATAAATTGTGCTAATCCTCATTTAAATCAGGAAGCTATAGTTTAGAGCTAGAGTTAATGGTTGTCTTGGTGTTAAAGGTCTATTTCCACCAGATTTTCTTTATTCTATTCTGTGAATGACTGTCGGGGCTCATGATGTGATCCTGAAAAACCGTTCGGTGTTATTACCAAAAGCTATAGTCCACGTGAAAACTCTCCATGCTCGTGCAGTGAACTGCATCATTGGGGGGACCATGGTCCGCACTGCAGTGGTCTTGGGCCTCGCCCCGAGGGCACAGCCTTGGAGTCCGGGGTCCTCAGTACTCCACCGAGCTCACCATTGCCATTGGTTCATCAAAGGTTGCCAACCTTATCTGCTTCGGGGTAGGGATGGAGAGAATTTCTCCCGTGTCAGTTGGTGAGTGCATACCGTTGTCTATTATGTTTGAAACTTCCTCCTCGTGATCCTCGTACAGCGTGTTGATGTGCAGCAAAGGGTGGGCTGGGTTGCAGTTCAGTGCAGGTGTTGGCTCTGGCTTGACCTGGTTCAAAGTCATACTGGTTGCAGCAGCGGTTGTGGCTATATGGTTGTGGTTACATGTGACAAAAGCCCCCGCAGCAGGCACAGTTCTGCATGTCTCAGATGAGTATAGGATCTCTTTTGCAGGATGAGGGGTGTCTAAAAGAGAACAGAACAGCCAGTTACAAGACAAGTAGTCTTTCACCCTTCCAGTCCATCAGAGAGGAGAGTCCTGAACCAATAAAAGTCATTGGCAGTTTTGCCGCTGATTTCAGTGGGAGCAGGAGTGGACCCAAAAATGAATTTTCTTGGGATCCTTTGAGAACTCCAACAGGACTGTTTCCAAACAACAGGGTTGTAAGCTCAGGGAAATAGGACAAACAACAAATGGGTTTTATAAATCTCGCTCTTTTTTACGCATGCTCATGCTTCCTTATGTGAATGGTATTTTTGTAAAATGAACAAAAAACAAGTGAAAAGTATCTTTTATTCTCCTCTACAGTCTGGCAGGTGTTTTATAAATGTTATGATTTAATGATTTGACAAACATTATGACTGCTGAAATCCACAGGATGGAATACAAAAAGCACTGATATTTTCAATGGGAAAAACCAGTGGTTACACATTGTAAGCCACTTGTCTTTAGAAAGAACTCAGTAATTTGACATTAACTGATGTCTCTTTCCAGAAACTGTAAGTCTGCCTTACCTGATGGACTGCGGTGTAGGTCTAACTCAAAAGCAAAGCTGAAAATTTTTAATGGGAATGGGGAGTAACACAGCCCCAAAACTACAGTAATTATTTTTTTTCCCTTAAAATATTCAAGCACTAATTTAGATGAAGGTAATTGAGGCCAGGAAATCCCAGCAGTTTTGAGGAGTTGAAATCAGAGCAGGTGACTGGATAAGGAATGCTGTAGAATAGCTCACATGCACATTGGGGAGTTGGAGGGCTCTAAGGAGCATAGGGGTTTGGAAGTGACAGAAACTTTTATACCTCAAATCACTTCTTTGCTGGGCAGTGGGGTGACGGTAGCTGTCAGTCTGTCGAAGCCCAGAGGGAGGTCTTAGCTTGTAATGAGATGAGAGCCATTGCTTTAAGTACGCACAAAGCTTTCTGTAACTTCAACTGCATAGTGCTTCTTTTTATGTCAGTAGCTTACAAAAATAAACAAGAACATATCTGTCTGTCTAACAGTTTATCTACTGATCCATCAATTTTCTTAATGCTCACATGGCTTTACTCATCACTGTAGCACCTAACAATTATTGATATATTGAAAACACTTCTTTGAGGTAAGAAAGGGACAGGATTTCCAAGACACACACAGGAAACTGAGGCACAGAAAGAGCATCTCCTGCAAGGCCACACAGGAAGGGAATGGCAGAATTCCTGAATCCCTGGCCAGCACCCACACTTCAGATCATCCATCCTCTGGTCCACATGAGACAAAGGGCAATTTAAAATGTCTCTTGCGTGAAGAACAATATCAATGATCTGAGTTGTGATTTCCTAAGTGACAAACACATGCCAACCCCCAGGAATTGGTAGTAAAGAGAATTTTTTCTACAGGCAGCTTTAACTGCCACTAGCACAGTTTCTCACACACTCCTAAGTGGCTATTACTAGTCAGAGTACTGGTCATCTACCATGGCAGTTCCCACATGACTTGAAAATGAGGCAGGTTTGAAAACGTGCCAGGTGCTGGTGAAGCAGGAAGGCTATCATGGAGGCCAAACCCTCCCCATTTCCTTGGCAAGGCATGGCCACATTTGTAATTGTGAAAATCTGCTTACATTTGAAAAATTACCAGCACTAACAGCCTGCAGGCTGTTTTGTACAGCTCTGCCTGTAATAATCCTTATCCTCCATATAGCTGTTAAAGAGAGAGAACCTCTGTTTCTGAGACCTGCAAGCCCTAAGATTATTAGCTATGCCAAAATCTAGCAAGGTAGCTCAAACAGTTCAGATAAGCTTTGAGCTCCCGAAGATGGCTATGCAATTTCTGGTCTGTGGAGGGGGTACGGGCATTATGGCATACTGTACCTTTGAGAGAGGAGGCAACGTGTACTACGACATTCTCTTCCTGGTTTAAAAATCCACCCTCTTGGCTTTTTGACGTAGGCATCGAGGGGATGGCTTGAATCTCTGGCTTGGGTTTTTTGCTACTAAGTATATACGGATGAACATCCAAGGAAAAGTGTCGTGTGTGTTTTTTTTCACTGCTTGTGCTTGGGATGGCATTTGGCTCGGTTTTATGAGCGGATGATTGCTGTGAGGTTTTTGCAGCAGACTCTAACAAAGGAGCTATAAGGCTGTCTGTTGCTGTTTTTCTCCGCACAGGCTTCGGTTTCTCAGGTTTATGGTTTTCAACCTTCATAATGGCTAACTGTTCCTTGAATGGCTGAGGAAGGGGATTGGTGGTCGGGATCCATTTCATCTTCTTCCTTGGTCTCTTAATAATGAGCTGCTCATTAGCATCAATGTCTGCTGGATCAACACTTGGGTCTATCGTCTGGATCCCTGAATCACGCATGGTTGGAGTGGCATCATGATTGGACTGGGCCAACGCTGCAAGCAGCTGGCGTACCACATTGTCATACATCAGATCGCTTTCATTTGTAATAAAATCCAGACGATTCAATGATTTTATGTGGTCCCGATTTTCATTACAGAACATGGCCAAAATATTGATATCACAAAACTGGGACTTCTGCCACTGTTTCTTGGTCTTTATTCCAACTTTGTTCAGTTTATCAAATATGAAGTTAGACTTGCGAAATATGAAGAGGTGAATTAAGTTGATGAGGATTATCAAGTTCATGAAGCAGAGGAGAACGATATCTACACCAGCAATAATCCGCTGGAGCTGGACAGATGGCAGTTTACAGTTCACTCTGATGTGCAATTTGGAGCTGCTCGTTTTGTCTGGAGGCTCTCCTAGTGCACATGTAAATTCATTTTGCTTTTGGGTAGCATAGTAGGTGGACAAGTACGTAATCGGTATGATGCTTAAAAAGATGATGAACAAATGTCTTGCAAGATAAAGCTTAGCTAAAAAGTTACTTCGTCCTCTTCTTTCCAAGTATTTCTCAAATAAGTTCTGTTCAGGGCTTTTTTCCTTCTCTGCATTCTCAATGATTTCTCTCTTCTCTCTCTCGGTGATCCCCGGGCCTTTGGACTGAATCTGTTTCTCTATTTTTGGTGCCCGCCCTTCAGCTGCACGGTGGTAGCAGTTATCAATCTCCTGAAGCAAAAAATTAAGCTCTGAAGTCAGTCGGGTGGAGGCCAGAAATTCCCAGCCCAGAGCTGGAATGTACATTATCCCAGCAAAAGCCAGCAGTGCATAAGGTAGGAACTTATGCTCAAACAAGGAGGGCCAGTGGCTGGCATCAACTCCTGGCAAGGCATCTTTTAATTCTGTCCAACAATATCCTCTGGCATACAAGGCTTGATCGCGGGTGAAGTTGTGTGGTGTATAACAGTATATTGGCTCCTCTGTATAACAGAGAGAAAAGTCACTGCTGTGCATTTAACCTACAAAAGGAGCTCTGGAAAATAAACATTTCAAATTATATCAATTTTATTTTACTGTATCTTTACATGACCGTTAAGCCCTCCATGTCTATTAGACAGCTCAGCCTGCACACATCTTCACAAATCCCCAGGCAAATCTATTTACCTGGAACTTTTAGAATGAACCTGAGCTAGAAATGTCAGCAAGGTTTAATGACCTCTCTGAGAACAATATCCTAAGCAACTGTGACCTAAACTCTGTAAAGCTAAAAGATCTGATATCCACTATACAGTAGCTGAGGATGTTATGTGCAAATGCTGAAAGGCTCATTTAGGTGAAATTTACGGTTCATCCCAGCTTAATATTCTTCTAAATAGAAAAAAGTTAGATGTAGCTGAAGGCAATGTTTTTAATCCTTATTAACAAAGTCTACTCATTGGATATGGTAGAAAAAATTAAAACATAAAGATACACAAGCATTTAGTCAACTATATCCCTCCCAGCTGACAGTCTTGAATTAAAGTGTGACTGACCAGGACAGAATCTGGTGTGTTAACTGTATTTATCACTACGAAAATTTAATTCTACATTTGAAACTGTAACATTTTTTACACAATGTGCAATTAAATGGTGGAACTCACTGTTGTACAGTATTATGGAAGAAATAAATACTGTGGATCAAGAAAGCAATCAGACAAAGTAATGGAAGAAAAAGTATAGTAAGGATTATTAAATACACAGAGAGTGATGCAATTGTTCTCTCAGGATATGTTTAAGCCACAGGCTGCTAGAGGGTGGAAGTCTTTCTCTTAGGAAGTAACACCATACGCTTGTCTATTTTAACACTCCTTCCTAAGCATTTGCTTTTTGCCACCATCAGAGACAGGATGCCGGGCTAAAAGGACTTTTGTCTTGACCCAGTAGATAAGTTATGTTGTTATACAACTACATTTTTCTAGCAATACGTGAAAGTAAGATAGAAAAACTTGTGAAAGCTAGAACAGTATTAATTGCCCAAAGAACAATGACCATTATCAAAGCACCCTCTCCAAAGAGGAAGACCATATTTTCATGTTTTGGCAGGTAGAACAAAGGGAATATATTTTACAGTCTTCTGGTATACTTCTAAAAAATTTCCTAAGATGAAACCCATAGGAAGAAGTCATGTTCTCTTGATTTGAGAATCACTCAAGAACACCAAGCTTGCTCCAGTTCTGAATGCAGTCTACAATTCAGATCAAGAACAGCTCACTGGAAGAGAGTGGTGGTACTGTTCTCTTAATAATACAAATCATGAAGAGAAATAATAAAATATTAAGTTGATTGATAACAATAAATAAAATATTAAAAATTAATAAGCAGGCAAACCCCCCTAATTCTTGTGGCTAAAGAGAGGACTCCTTCTTTGACCAACTACTTCTCATATGCGAGTAAATCAAAAGCATTACTAGTTCTTTGGTAAAATGTTGAGGTGTAAACCTCTTCTGTGACCTACAGAGATCCACATGCTGAGGACTGCACAAAAACTGTTTTTTTAAAAAAAGTGATTCAGTGAGGATTCTTTTCTAAAAATATAACCAATTTAAACAGAGCTGACAGAATAAATGATGCTACCCAAGACAGCATGTAAAATGAGTAAGCCCTGCAAATTCTTTAAAATCACTTTTGAAGACTATTTTAAAATAATCTAACTTCAACCTCAGAGGAGAGCTTAAAGCACTCGAACGTTACACAGCTTCCCACTGAGGCTATTTTTGTGTATTTACAGCCATGTGTTACAAGAAAAATGCTCACTTGGTTTCGTTAATCACATGCCTTCCCAACCCTACCCATGAAGGGATGAGCACAAAGAATTTCCACTCCTACTATCAAAGAGTTACTGTATGATTTCCCAGGAGACAAAGTAGATTCCTATGTGAAAATGTTCCCATGGGGGAAAAAAGGCAGAGAAGCGCGCTGTGTTTCTCATAAGCAGAAATATTTTGAATTGGGTGTTCCTAAGCTCAGCAGAACCTGCCAATATGAAACCCAGGTTCCTGTGACATACATGGGTTCATTTCTCCTAGGTCTCAACACCATGAATACTTGGGAAGACAGCAACAAGTATTCATACAAATCATCCGAAAGGATTCTTTTTTGATTCATGTATCAGTTGCTACTACCGAATAAACTGTAAACAGTTTTCTCCAGTTCTCTTCACTGAGACCTGAAAGCTAAGGTGACTTCTGCCAACATTGTATATATACAACAACAATCAAATATATATTCATTTTATAAATAAAAAAAGGAAACAAATCAAAATGTCTTAACATTTACATTTATGTTGGACAGATCACTTGGAGACTAACTCTGAACTCTATCCTTTGCCACTGCTTCAGTGAAAAAAGTCTGAAGAGCTTCACAACTCTGGTTTGGACTTAACAGCTTCATTAGAGGCTACTTCAAAAATGGGGCTGCCCAGCCCAGTAAAGAAAGCAAATGACATTTTACAGAAATTTGTTTGCTTTTCCTCTGTTAAACATTTTTTTAGCTGCTCCCACTGCCTGGTAAGTTGTGAGAGATCTCTGATTTATTGGGATAGATGAGCATGGTGTCTCATTCTTATTCAATGTTTTCTTATTTGTTGATGCTAGTCTAGTATTTTCTTTGCGTACTTGTTAAATTGACACAATTTTCATTACATGCCACGTAAATCCCTAGACCGTTCAGATGAAACCCAGTCCTCAGTGAAGCCAGCGGGTCTTCTGATAACTGACTGAAGCAGGGGCAGTGGGGTTACAATGCAATTTTATTCAAATGGTATTTTCTAGTATTTTTGAGCCATACTCACTGTCAGTGAATGCCACTAATTTTGGTAAAGTTATTCCACAGGGGAATTTAGCTTAACCTTCTCAGCATAGGACTTGACTCACAAAGCGTAACATCAGCCTTACGAAGTTCACTCATCTAGAAAACGTTCCAGACAGTGAAGAGAGGAATACCCTTCCAGACAACAATTCAAAGCAAAAGACTAATTTAGCTGTTGCCTGGAGGAGCCTGTCTATCTCCATTGACAAGAGGCTGCCAAGCAAGATCGCCATAAGGTTTGAGTTGGCTTTTGTGAATGTTACTTCTTAGGTGACGGCAGCATTTAACCTGCATTCAACACCCTGAAGGTGTTTGATCCCATCACAGTAAGGTATGGACCTGCTTCTCCTCTGCTGCAATCCGTGTCAATCAGGAATAACTGAAATTTATTCACATCAATAACTAATCTTGTTTGCTATGAAAGATGGCAGTAACATATAGCTGGATCTCAACATGCAGATCTAATGAGGACAGGGGAGTAACAAGTTGTTCTCACATATATAGCTCACTCTAGCTGTGAGGGCTCTACTTAATGCTGTTTCAAGAAGGCACAGTGGATATATTTTTTTTATTTTACAATGTTCTCCTGATAGGTAAGTAACATTAAAAAAGAGGCTGTAACAATGTTAAAATCATAGCTCTGACATTGGATCATGCAATATAAAAAAATGTATTTGCTTTAACTTCATATTCATAAATATAGAAAGCTTCCACTGATATTCTTATTTCACCTTTAAAATCCTCGAGCTGTTTAGGAGGTTTCTTTTTCGTATAACCACTCCAGCCACTATGAAATGCAGCTTTTCCCCAAGACTGCAGTTCAATTGCATATGGCATAATTGTTCAATTGTGTAGGAAAGAACAATAGAGTAAGATGCTCTAAAGAAAATTTTTAAAAAAGCTTAGGGGACATTGTTATGGCTGAGTGGATTGGTCATCTTCTCAATGTTGTCTAGGCTTAAGCCCATAAATATAATCTATCCCACCACTCTCCTTGATAGGTACATTCTTGTAAGCCCAAAAGACAGAAATTCCTACCAAAAAACCCAGAGAACAAGTTCATCATTTCCAAAATAATTTTTTGCCAGTTGCAAACAATAATGGAAAGGTGGTTCAGGGTGGACATGCGTCTGTGATTTGCACACATGGGCATCTGTAGCAAAGGCAAAAAAAAAAGTAAGATAACTAAGCTGCCATCGTTACTGGTGGCTGGAATACTAAACTCAATTTTTCTGCAATAAATGTGATGGCTTACTGCAAGAGTGAAAAGTCCAAAAGTCTGCCCTTAGGCTCACCTACACAAATGTGTTAAATGCATGCCAGAATATGAAGTTCAATACAGTTTCAGAAAACATCACTAGGAATACCTAAGAACAAGTCCTGTCTTCAGTAATACTTTCCTACAGTCACTGTCATTCCCTGGAAATGTTCCTGTTCAATAATGTTTAAGAGACTAAGTAACTCTGTGCTAATGCTGTGCAAAAATAATTACTACACTGGGAAAAAAGTCCTTGATTTTAATATAATATAAAGTATATTATACTTTATACTGACTTGAGTATAAAGATGCATACTAAGAAGCATAGCTTCCCTTTTTTGGATGCTCTTTGATGATCACAGGAGCATTACATCAGATGTTTTCAACAGTTGTACATAAATACATTTTATCCTGTTCACTATGCATGTAAGTAGCTTTTAGAAGTCCATAAAACTGTTCTCATGGATAAGGTATGAGAGGCATCTCACTGAATTTTTTGGACATGCAAACAAGATGAAATAATCAACACAGAATTACTTAGTCAGTTGTGTAATATAATTGATTGTGTTCTGCCACTTGAAAAATTAAAATCCCTTGCCAGCTAAGTTTTTTCACATGCTCCATTCTGTGCCATCTCATCCCATCAGTTTAAGTACTACTTAAATGGAGAAAAATGACTTCCACGAAGTACTGTGGTACAAAAGGCATATTTTAGGGGAATGAAAGAGAGTGCATGGCTGCGAGAAGATAGCCAAGGTAGGGAGAGGGATGAAGGAAGGGGCTGTGCTCAAAAAACTCTTTAGAAAGACTCTAAACAGTTAGTTTAGAGTACAGAAGTACAGAAGCTATGAGCTGTGAGTCTGCTGCCTGTTATTA